AAGAGGCCCAATTAGTATAATAATTCAGAAATCTTGCTTTTAGCCTGTCCCCTGAATAGCTGGGCTCTACTGAATACAATCGGCACACTAAAGATATCATGTTTGCAGTTAAAAATCTCCAGAGACTTTAGACCCATACATAAAGATACTTATTTCACTCTTTTCTGAGACACTGACCTGTATCTTCATTTAAAAATGAACACCACATCTTTATGTTATTAAATCTTTGTTTTGATCTATTAGTATTCACCAAAGTGCCATTTTATACAACCCTGCACTGAATAGGCGAGGCTGGAGGTAACCATCTGCAGCTTTAGAGTCAGCGTTTGAATTGATGAAAAGAGCTTTGTGTTTTCATTGCCAAGTTTGATTCTTCCAGTCATTAGACATTCCCCTCAGATCGCATCAATGAAGCGGACTCTCTTACACCCATGTGTTAAATTCTCCTCTCCTCATGGTTTCCTTTGCCAGCTATACTCCAGAAAGACTACCGGGTCTTAGCCACATTCTTCTCACAGCTGTGTTAAAAAAGAGCATCAGAGCGTCTTCCCAAAATCCATATGTGTATCTGGTCAGTCCCCTGTCGGAGGGTCACCTCACATTGTGGTGTGATTATTCAAATATTCATTCTTGTTCTTGAACTGCACTGCTCGGATCATTCTGAGAAAGATTAGGCCCTCCAGCCAGCACTGGAGAACGTCTTGGATGTTGATGTGAAATGCACACAGCTCCTGTACTCGGAAGGCGGATTAGTTTTACTTGCAGAAGAGGGGGACTCTAACCACTTAATAAATACTTGCTTCTTATTTCTTTCCATTTTTTGTATTCTTTTAAACTGTGCTGAATGCTGGTAAGAACTGTTTGTTTCTGTTGTGTCATCGATCAACTTACTTACTAGCATCAGCTAAGAAGCTAAGTGAACAGCTACAAAAGCAGAGAAAGCATGTTCAGAAATGCTGGAGGGAAATCCAAGACTACCCAAAAAAAGGGTGTGTTCCAGTAACAATGAAGGTTAGGTGGCCAAAATAACCATACCTTGAGAGGTAAAGCAAATGTTATTAAGGGTAGTATTTCTTTTATGAGAGAGCAATTTCCTTTGATAAAACGATCTTGCTTATTCAGAATATTGCTTAGTCTTCCTATCTATTCAATCCACTGAAATATTTTATCCAAATCTGTAACTCTCCTGACTTGCCCCATAAATAAATAAATAAATAAATACATACATACATACATACATACATACATAAATGAAATCCTCTTTAATAAACAGTTAAGGACAAATGAAGTAATAATTTCTGTTTTGCATCACTTTTATATTTGCTTTGTTCATAGAACTTCCTCAACAAAGCAGACAAGCAGAATATTTCTCATCATTTATGCTTATTTTCATACCTGTGTATTTTAGCATTGCACCATTACTTTCTGGATTTGTGTTTACTTTTAGAGGATTACATAGAAATTCTACACACGCACCCTCTGCTGCCACCTTACACAGCTATGTGAGTGTGCAAGTGTGATGGTGCTCACATGCAGAGAGCTACACTTTACTGAGCTAGAATCATTAAATTATGAGAAAAAATAGAAGCCCTCAATAGACAAATTGCATTAAAATTCACTCCAGCTGCAAAGCTGTTGCAGAAAAATAGAACTTTTCCTGGAAAAAACTGGCTTCAACCTTTACTGATAATTGGCTAATATTGATTTGGTATTACATTATAACCTCCTCTGATCTCACTGACATCAGTAGCCACTCCTCAATCCCAGAGGTTCCAGCAGGAAGGACAGTTTTAAAATGTCTTGCTTCCTCTGCTGGCAGAGGCATTAATTAATTCACAGGATTTTCCAGCCACCTTCTCCAGGTCAGCCCCATTTCCCTGCTGGGGCTGCACCAGCTGGCTCCTGGCTTCTCGGGCAGGAGAAACTTGCAGGGGGCCTGTGGCACTGTGCCAACACTCCTGGTGAATTCTGTACCACCGTCCTAATTCTTTGTTTGTAACCATGAATTAGAAACATTAATTAAATATAGAAAATTATAGTCATAGCCATTCTACAGAGTTTGTTAAAAACATTAAGTATCATGCAGATCACAGTAATTTCCTATTGAATAAATATGTAGTTATGTGTGTGCATACATGTATTTATTTACATACACCACATAGTTAAAATGTGTATTTGCCTTAGAAACTAGAATAGTGCTCTCTCTCAAAAGTGTAATGTGTATCTTGTTAATGTTTCAAAATCAAAATAGATTCAAACAAATGATGTTAAACCTGTGTGGTCACTCTGAGATTCGACATTTTCTGTTTCACACCACCACCTCGGCTAGGATGGCAAATCTTCTCAGGCAGGAGCACACAGTCACAATTTATATCTCACTCTGCAGTCAGCCGATGTGAGATGTTCACCTCTACTTCAGTATAAATAGAAAAGTGCTATATCCAAGTTCACTATAAGCAGATTCCAGTATATGCCCCTTCTGGTTCACAGCTGCTGTTTCACGTGGGATAGGATCCAGAAATTTTTAACATGCTTTGTGTCCTAACGGAAAACACAGGACCACTATTCTGACTTGGATCTCACGTTTAGAAAGCAACAATTGCAGGTGGGTACACAAATGGCTGACATGGTGGCAGTGCTGTGGAGAAATTACATCTCTATTTCAAGCTCTGCATATGCTGCTGAATTCAAACACTGATGTTTTTAAGAATATTAAAAAATTCTTTAGCGTTGTCAGAGAACAGATTAGCAAAGGTATAGTGAACACCAGTAGATTACAATAAAATACAAAGTACCTCCTTTTTCAACATTATTTTAATTATTCTAATTATGTTATTTCTTAATGAAGCTTGCAATTATTTTCTTTCTGATTTTTAACTGTTGCTACATTATTCAAATATTTTACTGAACAATACTGAGAAACTACTTTATATAGCTGCTAAAAATACTTCCTTCGTTTGTCAGAATTCAATTTTACCTGAGCATTTAGAAGTCAAAAGAACAGATGTTTTAGAACCCTATTTAGGTTACGAATTGTAGTGTCACATTTTAAATTACAATAAGCATCCTCTTAAAACAGTGCTAGTAATTAATACTAGTGTAATTAATACCAAGAAGCCTTTCCACTGACAGGTTTATAAATTATCAGTTCCTTTTTGAAATGTAGAACATCCTACATCTTCTAAATAAAAAGCTAAGCTAACAAATGAGTTCCTGCCTAATTGCCAAACACTGATTTGTATGAAGCGGTTGAGGTTACAAAGAAATTGGGAATTCTCAGCCCGGTTTCCCTGCTGATGGGTACGAACTGTCTGTGTAGCTCTCCCAGAGGTGTCAGAGGAATCTCTATAGTGTCACACAAGGGTTCTTAGCTCAAAGTAAACACACTTTCCACAAACTCAGCTGCTTAATCTGTTTGCAGGTTGAATTATAAGATGGGGGTGGATGACTCCGGGTGCTGGGAAGACGCACAGAGCATTTCCACAGTTTCTTGGTAAAAAGGGCATGCTATTGTCATCAAAAGACTTCACCCAATTGTTTAATTTTGCTATAGGCTCAGTGGTCTGATCTTTGCAATAAAGAAAACTAACCTGACCAAAATTTTCCCAAGTAGTTGAGCATGTTAAATTGCATAAATTCTTTTAACTATAGCACTGCATCACGACCACTTTAATTCAGGTTGTGGCTGCACTCCTACTCTAACCACCCTGGTTACAAGGGATTAAACAGGACTGTTTCACTAAAAAAAGACAAAACCAAAAAACAACCTTCACTTTAACATCTATGGATAGTAAATGTTTGTAAATAAAATGAAATTAAATAACAACTTTAAACAATGTACAGAAAGGTTTAGCCAATATTCTCTTTAACATGCTGTAATTATTTTTTTAGGTTTATTTTTATCAAGCATGCACATGCTGAAGTTTCAAATATATCTAAGTGTTCAGAATAAAGACTTGAATGATTCTCAAACAACCGCTGGAGGTTTTAAAGAGATGACTGAAAATATGTGTGTGTGTGTATATATATGTATCTTAACAGTATTTTATGTAGTTACAAATAAATAAAAAATATAAAAATATGATTTATTTTTTTTAATAGGAGAACTCAGCGTGTTTTTTTTTAAACAGGAAGAACTTGTCAGGTCCTTGCAATATATTATAAACCAATTTCTGGCTACTCTGGAAATATGCTGTAGACATTAAAGGTGAAAACAAATATGGACAGACAAGAAAGTTTGCATCAGTTCATCATCGGACACCTTGGAAGTGTGAGAGAGGGTGAGAGAGGGGCATTTTGCAGCTGGTGAATGTAATGGAGGGATATGAAGTGGTAGACTGTGAAGAGGCTCTGCCTACACGTTTGCCTATGTCCCAGCAATCAGACCTTCAAAGGCTTATGTGCTAATAGTAACAAACATGACAATAAGGACTTCAGTAGAGATGAGCTGCAGGTTTTGGAGTTCAGTAACCTTTTAAAAGGGAATCTTATGACGGGAAAGAGAATATAATCCCTGTTCACTGACTCAGAGGCTTCAGTTGGTTTCAGTGAGATTTTGAAGCCACCCCTAAACAATCCCAGCAGCATTTACCATGGCATGAAACCTGCCAGATGTGTAACAGATCAAAAATGAGAATTTTAATATTCTACCATGCAATTATAAAGGCAAATACTATATTGCCATAGGATTGCCATGGGTTAAAAAGACAGTGAAAACCATTCATAGGAGATAGAAACATTTTCTCTGTGCCTTGTGTGTGTAGAAAGCAGTTTCCACAACAGTAATGGCAGGCACACTGACTTGTGTAATACTATAAAATCATTAAAATGATTGGCTTTACACTGAGTAGGTAAGCAGCTGAACGGCTGACAAAGAAGTAATCGTTTTAAGGGACCTTTTTCTGAGTACTGCCACACTTTCATAGTGAAAATACCAGAAGAAACAAAGTTTCATTTGGTTTTCGACTGCAATTTTTCTGGAAAGAAGGCAAGTGACTTACTTCTGAACTTTTTCATTGGCCTCCCGAGAAGCCTCCAGGGCCTTCTGGAGCTTCAGCTCTGTGTCCTGTTGCTCTGACCGAGCTTGCTGCAGCTGAGCTGCCAGATCTTCAATCTGGCCGTAGGTAAGGGTCACAACATCCTCCCTGCTTTGCAGTCCACCTTCAGAAGTACCGAAAGTACAGGTAAGCTGGTCCTTCAGACCCACTCCTTCAGACATAGATTTGTATAAGCTGGGAAAACAAAATCATACACGTTATTAAGTTTCAGTCTAAGGCTGAGATGCAAGAATACTACACTCAGTTTAATTAATATTTTTAATATCATAATATATGGATCCACATGCACTAATACCAAAACAAGTTTTATTTCAAAAGTGAAAGAGAATAGAAAGAACATGCCGTTTCCACAAGGGTCTTCCAGAAGTATGTAACAACTATCAGAATTTTATAAAGTAAAAAATACATTCAACAAAAACTTAAAAGGCAGTATTTTTCAGCTGTAGCATCTTCCTAATCACCTTTGAGCTGCAGCAAAAAGTTGTTAGCGTGATTTACATGAAGTTGAATTAATCAGTTACTGATGTGTTATTAACTCATGTTGCACAGGACTCTCTTTTAGCAATCAGATTCACCAGCTACAGGAGATTTATTTGTAAAATTGCAGATTTTTCAATATAATGAAAGGAATAAAAATGCTACAATGCAAAAATTAAAATAATTAAATCAGCAAGGTTACTTAGAAATATGAACAATCTGCACATGCTAACCTATTCTAAAGGTCTTTGGTCAATATTTTTGTGAGAAGAAGCTTAAAATATTTCTTGATGATGGTTTAAATAAGCTAGTAACACTTGTACTAGAATACACTGTGTCTTAAACAGCCTCTCTATAGTAGACAAAGATAGGTAACCTGCCAACATCAGGGTTTTATCATGAGACATTTCAATATCTGTAGTGTCCTCCACCATAATTTCTTGCAAGGTCCTTTCTGACCCACTGTCTCGGTTTCACTCAGGTGAAAAGTAGACATATTTACCATCTATTTCACACTAAAATGTCATGGATGAATATTCAACCCATTCAGCTTTGTACATGATTTTGAGGTATATTCATAGAGATACCAAATCATAGAGCACAGAAATATTACTCTTTCATTTTACAAAACAGAATACAGTATTATGTACTTTGTATTTGTGTGCCAGAAAGTTCTGGACAAATCAAAGGGAGATCAGAAATTTAAAATTAAATTGAATAGGGTCTTCAGACAATAGATTAATGAAGATAAAGAAAATAAATATGCCTTGATCAGCTAACAATAGCTATGGAAAATAAGCAAAAAGAAGAATCGTAGAGAGTCAGATTACCTATAAATAAGGAGAAGAAATTGAAAAAAGGAGAACAAAAGAAGAGGGTGGTTCATCAGGTAAAAAACTCTTAATGAAGCCTGATGACTGTGGAATTATTTCTCAAGGAATCAGTAGGTAGCCAGCTGCTTGAGTTACTAAGGTGCAATGGTAGAAATCACATTAATAGCTGATTCCTAGGGAAGCAACCTGCACCAGCAAGTTCTCCATGGAATAAGCAACAATTGCTTCTCATCCCTTCATAGCCATAATTCATTGGTGAATTTTATACCAGTGAAAAATTACACTGGTAGTAGAAGAAATCCATGGAAGACATTTATAACAAAAGTGATGGCAACAGGACAGCATAATGAGCAGTGGTTTTAGATAAATAACTGAAGTAATTTCAAAACAACATCATGAATATCAGAAGCTGTTGCTGTATTGATGAATATGACTTGAAACCATCCACTCTGATGACCATGCAGATATCAAATATTATTTCAGTTTGGATTTCTAGTAGCAGTGCACACTGATTACAATACTCAAGACTGTCTGCATGACAGCTGCTAGTATGCAATAGCATATTTTCTGCCTTTCCGGTTTATTAAGGTGTTTGTATGGAAAACATCCTTTATTCTGACAGACCATAGAGGAAAATCATACATGAACTAAAATATAATACACATGGACCAGCAAAATGTGGATGAACTAATAGAAATCCGGAAGCTAAAAGGTCAGAGTGTTGATACGTCATTACACCTACTACCTGTGGTTGTCTGAAAAGAATGTGAAGAACCTTTTCAATTAAATGAAGACATATTGAAAATATAAATATTTATAAAGGGACATTAAAATCCCTAGAACAGACTCATTAAAAATAAAATTAAGTTAACAGTTGCACATAAAATTTACTGACTGAAGTTCCACTATGGTTGAGCATTGATCACCATGGAAAAATACAAAGGTATGCAAATAATGCTGAAAGCAGGTTACCAAAATACCACTGCTGCCTGCTCCTTAAACACCTGGCACAAGATTAAAAGAAAAAAAAAGACAGATGAGAAGCTAAACTGTTCGGTGAATATATGGGTTCCTGATTAATGAAAAAAAAAAAGAGGATAGACTAAATGTTCTCTCTTGTTGACACCAGCTGAGAGGTTTTTTACCAGAACATAGGAAAAATAGTGGTTTATTTAGTTCTTAAAATCCTGGCTGTGTGTGGCTACAGCTGAGCTCCTTCTCCAAGAATGGCCATGAACAATACAGTATGCAATACACTATTACATGTTTTAACTCATAATGATTGCATCTGGGTGATCAATAAATTCTGATGTGTATATATTTTGTAGCTAGTGTGATCCCTCCAGATAAAGGCACTGTGGTTGATAGAACTTCTCAACATTTTTTTTTCACAAGCATGCAATTACCAGATTTCCATCAATATGTGCTTTGCTAAAATATTTTTATTTAGTCCCTTTTGATACTTCTTAATTTGAAATTTCTTCATTAATGTCCCAAAGATTATTTCTTCAAAGAATATTGGTGGTATAAATCAAAAATAAATGGGAGTTTTAGCCCTGAAGAATGGGCCACAGAAGCATTCAAACAGTTCCTTGATTTAAGTAATTCACATGTTCTTTACAGTAAGCCTTTTGCTTTGCAATGGCAGCATGGCCTCTTTCCTGCTTCAGCTTTGGTCCAAGAGCTTCGAGGGCTCACCTTAACTATGTCCAGGCAGAAGAAAAAGTGACACGTGATGATGCCATTTATGCAGCTCCTGCAGATAGCAAGAGGTTTCCTCAGCCCCCAAAGTCAAGGCAGCTTCAAGCCTGCTAAAAAATTTCACCAGTTGTAACTGCTCCCAGCGGGACTTGACTTTGGCTGAAAATCAACTGTATGAAGTACTGCTCTTATAACACTTCTCTCCTTGCCAGGCATACTTTTGCTGCAAGGTGGTAAGTTATTTTCCACCTGAAGCAATTACTGAACAACATAGAGAAACTTTCCACCTAAAGGAAGAAAAAAAACCCTTCAAAAAACAAACATTCCCTATTCGTCCCCTCCCTCCTCCCTCACCCCGGTGATAAACATATCCAATACTCCCAAAGGCATGTAGATCTGACCTTGCTTTTCACCACAAATGTTTCTGACACTCAAGTTCTGGAGACCTCTCAGACCTCAGCCTGCACTCAGGATGGCTTTGAAGAGGGTCCCTTCATATTCTGAGTGCACCCAAGGGTCAGGCAGCATTGATACCTTGAAAATACTACCTCAAAAGGTGTTTTTAGGAAACACTGCAATAAGACGATATTAAAAAAAAGCCTGCAAAACCTAGAAGGACTTTGACATTTTGCTGTAAAGCGGGGGATATAAAACGGTCAAGTTTGCATTACATGTGAGTCAGGAGCCTAGCAGATGGTAGACTGGTAACTAGATGGCATTGCCCTACCATAGACAAATATTTTACTAGCCTTCCTTCATCTGCAATTACACGAGTTAAGAGGACTGTGTTTTCACTTCAGTACAACCACCCAAACAACTCTCACCAATTTAACCGAAGGCAGCATCTGTGTTAAGACTCCGAGGCGCACAGGCCACAGACCATATTATAACAGCAGTGCATGCTGTGCATAATGCAGAGTATGTTCTTTGCACCGTCACAGTCCATCACAGTGTCGCTCTCTTGTGTGTGGTGTACCCACACATTCTTCATCCAGGTTGAGCTCAAGCATCATCTTTATTTTATACTCTCTCACCAAACCCAATGATAAGCACTTGTTGAACAGAGCCCACCAGTGATTTTTTTTCTGTGTGGTGGTTGGTGATATAACTTCAGGAATTTACAGGATAACATGTTGACAGATTAACGCTGATCATGCATGCCCATATTGTCCAAACTCAATTACATGTAAATAGGGATCCACAGTGAGCGGTAGGTTGAGTTTCAGCCTTCTCTCCTGAAACAGTCTAGAGAAACCTGTGACCTGTACATAGGTCCAAACAGTCTGGACACTAGGTGATTCGAGAACAGGTTCATTATCTACAGTGAAAATTTGAACTGACTATCATCCATCTTAGAACTTCAATTTTTCAACAAATACAAACTAAAGGCCATTAGCAAACACATTTTTCCTCCTTGGCCCTCAGTCTCCTCATCTTTAAAAACAAACAATCACAATACGACCTTTGCAAGTTGCTCTGAGCTTCAGTAGTGAAAAGAGACCCATCGCTGTTGAATGACCTAAGTTATATGCAGCACAGTTTGAATTTAGGACAAGACTAAACCCAGTTGGTCTTCTGATGATGCCAAATAGCAAACATTTTCTTTTGGGCCCTCATTTTCACTCTCCAGGACCCACGCCATTCCCCTGTGAATAGCTTGGGAGAGGTAGGCAAGGACATGGGGAATGTGATTCAATCACCTGAGCCTTTCTTGAAGTTGAAGGACTGATGAGACATGCTCTCAACAAGAAATAATCGGAAACCATACCTCCATTACAAACCCTTCGTTTACAGAGTTGCACAGTAATCAAATGTCTCCAGTTCACTCCATGCAGCCACTGGGCAAATTGCTCAGCACAGCCTCACACGACAGCGATATGCACACAACATCCAGCATCACGTGGCATTCCTCACATTCAACATGCCATCAAATGGTCCAGGACCCCCACAAAAATCGTTTCTGGATTAATAATGTTTGGTTGAAATGGAGCAAAACATACATGATACTGATGAGCAGAAGGAAGTGTTTTTGAGATTTTTGCAGCTGTTGTACTATCCTCTTCAGCTAGATCCACAGACCAATGGTTGATAACTTGTAGTTAAGAAATGAACCTGAGTTTCCTGAGCACACGATGCACCTAAAGCTGTGGTCCCTGTTATCTC